CCAGAATATGCCATAAATTTGCTATGACACTAAAGTCAGGTGATTGTGGAGGTGTTTGGATGATGTGTGGATAATTCCCAACAAGCCAAGTCTGCACAAGACCCGACTTGTGCTTCAGATCGTTATCCTGGTAAAAACAGAAATTGTTAATTATGCCTAAATATTCGGCACTTTTATGCCTATTTTGCTTTAAAATATTAAGATACACTTCTTTATCCATTATTGATTCTATAAATTGTAGATTACCTACTCCTGCCGCTGATTTACACCCCAATACTATCACATGCTTGCCACCGTGTTTAACTGTGCCATATAAATTTTCTTTTTGGAGCTTAGTATGTGATATATTTGGCGTATGTTTAATAGTATTTCACATATGATTTACCATCTGAAGCGTAGAGATTAAATTTACTCTAATTGACAAAAAATACTGCGTTTCAGAAAGAACTGTTCTTGTACAGGTGGTGTTTGGTAAACTGCATGCGAAACCGTCGGCAGGCATGTGATAGTATTGGGGTGTAAATCAGCGGCAGGAGTAGGTAATCTACAATTTATAGAATCAACAATGGATAAAGAAGTGTATCTTAATATTTTAAAGCAAAATTTGCATAAAAGTGCCGAATATTTAGGCATAATTAACAATTTCTGTTTTTACCAGGATAACGATCTGAAGCACAAGTCGGGTCTTGTGCAGACTTGGCTTGTTGGGAATTATCCACACATCATCCAAACACCTCCACAATCACCTGACTTTAGTGTCATAGCAAATTTATGGCATATTCTGGAAACTAACATAAGAAAACATAACATTTATAGCAAGGAAAGTATGAAAGCTGCTTTAATATTGGAATGGCAAAAAATGTCAGTGGAATATACTCAAAAATTAGTTATTTCAATGCGTTCAAGGTTGGAGGCAGTAATTAAACAAAAGGGCTATCCCACTAAATACTAAAATTCACTTTTTTATGCCAAAAATTATTAATTTTCTAAAAAAAAATGTATTGCACGAAATAAGCTGTGAGGTCAGAATTTGGTGTATGTTTGTTTTTGTTCACTTAACTTCTTGAATATTGATATTTTTGCTAAATTTTTTTTTTGTTTTATAATAAAAACTAAACATTCTTTAAAGTTGCATATTTAAAACTTTTTATTTTGAACAAAATTTTGGATTTTCACGACTAAATCTACAAAAATATTGCTTGCACGAAATAAGCTGTGAGCCACTGTAGTTATATATAATTTATAGTTATAACTTTTTATTTTCTTAAAGTTTAAAATTATAACAATCTTAAGAATTACTAATTACAGATAATAACAAAATTGCAATCCTTTGTTTGGTACAAGCTTATGCCAATAATGTATAAACGACCATATATTTTATTTTCTATAATTACTACTCGTACATAGATTTCTTCAGCTAGAACAAAACAGCTGAAACTATGCATTAATATTGATTATGCATTGTTATATTTATTATATACAATTTAACTTACAATTCTCAAGTACTTAAAACAACATTTAATATAAAAGGATGAGAGGATTACATACATAGAACTAATATTTTAAAATTTAATAGAAATTTGTTAGCCGTTGATAGCATCAATTGTTTAGGCATCATATTAGTTTGTTTCGCTGTTAAATTAAGTTCACATTTCTTTTTTTTATTATTAAAATATTTTGTATGGAGACTTCATACTATAAAAATTCACATTCTTTGAAATATATTCACGGATTTTGGTTTTTGAATTTATTACATCTCAAATATAAATACGTTAACTCCAACTTTCAAAATTGAAGTTGATGAATTATAAACAAGATATCCTAAATTGCAAATTACCACAAATAAATCATGTTATTTAGATTTATATATAAAATTTTAAAATAAGATTCCAAACTGATGTTAACTGTAGAAAGATGTATATTAGTATCTCCATATATATAAGATCAGGGTTTGAATTGCTGTTGCTAATTGCATTGCTTGCATAATTGCTAACGCATTGCATATGAAAATGAAATAAGAATATGCATTAGCAACAGCAAAAAACGTAAACTGGTTTCATTTTGATTGCTTGCTAATAGTCAATTTTACATTTTTGACTATTATGCATTTGGAATATATGCAACGTGCTTGCTTATGCGTTAGTTGCTTGTGTTTTGCTATTAGCAAATGTGTATGGATTTCTTTTTTTGTTTTTGTTTTAAGGGAATGTATACGCATTATTTCTTTGTCAATTATGATGTGTGCGTACAATTTGTATGCAATTAATATAATTTTATTTGTAATTAGATTATGCCTAAACTTATGTTTATTTTAATTATTAAATTTATGATATATATGATATATATATATATATATAGATAGATATATATATATATATATTAATTATTAACTATTAATTCATATATAAATAAATATATATATATATATAATATATATAAATAATTTTGTATTAAAATTAAAATATAACTTAATATTTAAAACAGTTTAAAAAGTGAAATTTTTTATTTTATTTAAAAAACGTTTTTATAAATTAATGTGTTTAATAAACGACCTACGCCCGGTAAAAAACATAAAAACTTTGTTATCAATTATGATTAAAAATTTTAATTTGATGTTATTATTCTTCTAAATTTAAGTCCCATTCAGGAGGTTGAAACAACGGCATATCATCAATAGCATGGTCCAAAAATTGCGGATTTAGTTTAACCATGAGAATGTTTTCTAAAGTTTATGCAGCCAAGGAAGTTTTGGACAACGTAGAGTCTATACAAAATAAATCTTTAGATGAGAATTTTGAATTATGCGATGAATTTTGGGAGTTTGTGAAGAGTTATTCTACACCAAAATTGAAATTTTGAAGTTATCTTTTCAACGTGTTGATATAAATGTATTGGACTCTTGGAAGGAAAGACAGTTTGCTGATCCAGAATTACATGCGCTTGCGAATATATGTTTTGCAATTCCACCAACTCAGGTAAAATATTCGTTTAGCATAATATGAATAATCAAATTAATGTCATTTACAT